TTCTGGGTTTCTTCTTATGGTTGATTTCTAGTTTTATAGCATTGTGGTCAGAGAAAACACTTGATATGATTTCCATCTTTTCAAATTTATTGAGACTTGTTTTGTGGCCTAACATGTGGTCTATCTTAGAAAATGATCCATGGCAGCACAACTTTTTACAATGAATCCACCACACATAAGTGGATTGAAGGCCTCAAAGCAGCCATCTGTTATTTTCTTATCTTAAAACCACAACCTCTTTTTAGCCTTTGGTTTATAAGTGTGATTCAAGAGAATTTCTACAAGGGAACAAAGTACTTTTTATATGATTTAGTTTAAATGGCCATTTTCTTGTCAGCTTTGTATACTTTTTTGTCTCATCTGTTCTGAAGGTTGTCAGTGATGATGTGCTAATAATGAGTGTCACTCCTATGACAGAGGGGAATACATTGTAAATTAGGCACTACCCCCACCTACCTTCGAAGAAACTCAATCAGATAAGTTAAACTTCTTGAAGATGTAGAAGGTAGAACTGGAAATAGATGATGAGTCAGGGCAGGGTGACCATGGCCTCCAACACACAAACCATGTCAAAAAACTCAGAAGCATCGCGAGACACTTCCTTCAATGTAGACCACTCCTTCACACTGGCTGTACTCAGGAAGAACTGCACCCTCTCAATGTTTAAGTCTCCCTGCACCCCTCCTTCTTTCTTCGCTTCCTCACCTCCGGCTCCTTACCAGTCTGCCCACATGTAGTTCTGTCTACATCTAATTCAAGCCCCTTTGCAAAGGCCTGAGGAGACTGGCCTCTTCACACAAGGTATTCTTCACCCTCCTCTGTATGTGGCATGGTAGGCACAGATGGGCTCCACCAAGCCCCCCCACTCCCACATTGGAGATATTACAACATGTCTCCCTTTAGAAATCTGGTCAGGAGTAAAAAGATCCATCATAATAAAAAGATGCTCACTCCAGAATCCAAAACCTCCTATACACCCTCTTCAGGAATGCTACCTAACCACCCCCACCTCTACCCCAGACTTCAGAGAGGCGCTCTTCTGTACTTACTTCTGTAAGATAACTGATCACGCAGAATAATAATTGGCTTATTTTCCTGTCTCCATGACTGACTTATTCCTTAAAGGGTGGGATCACATCTCTTTTTTTTTTTTAGCTGAGCCATCCTGCCACCTTTTGGCAGCTCAGCTCAGACTGGGAATAGAACCACTGTTGCTCAGAGCTCGCACTCTTGAGCAAGCTCTTAACCAACTTAGCCACTCGGCCAGACCCCATCTCATTCATTTTTGTATGACCCAACACTGAGGACAATTACTCACATGTAGAAATCACAAAATGTCTATTTATGCACTGGTTAAAGAAATGCATATCTAAAGAGCATGTAATAGAAGAGTTTCACAAGCCAATCTGAAATGAATAACTGCTTTATTTTACCCTGAGACAAGCTATTAACACTGTCAGGAAAGGCACAAGTAAATACTTTCTCCTCAGTACTAGTATCTTGTGGTAAGGAAATGTTCTAGGGAGCAGAAAAATACCTGAGCATCCGAATGTGCTTCAAACTGCACCATCCCATCTGGTGCCTGATCAAAGGTGTACATGAGACGAATGTCTTCCTCATGCAATTCATGGCCTCCCACAACAATGGTCCCTGTGGAGAAGCAACACCACTGTTACTCAGTCCCTGCTCCTCTTCCAGCCGCCCTGCTATGAGCACATTGTGCCACATTTTTTTTTTTTTAAGATTTTTTTTTTTTATTGGGAAATTAGGGGAAGGAACAGCATTGGGGGATTGGGGAAGGGGAACAGACAAGTTGCTGTCCTTTCGTTCTTCAGTCTAGTTGTGCAGGATGTCACTTCGCTGGCCCATGTTGGTATTGTGATCATTGCGCGCTTCCCAGCTGAGGCAGACTGGCCGCCAGCCATTGGACGGCCGCTCACGGCAGCTGCCGGCTGCTCACGCTGGCTGCTGGCCGCTCACAGTAGCTTATGGCAGCCCATTGCAGCCTATGCTGTCCCCAGTGGCTCATGGCAGCCCAGCTCCAGGTCGAGCTGTTGTTCACCATCTTAGCTGTAGAGGGCGCAGGGTCACTGGCCCATGTGGGATCTGAACCGGCGGCCCTGCTGCTCAGAGCTCATGCTCCCAAGCCAACTCTTAACCAACAAGCCACTCGGCCGGCTCTGTGCCACTTTTTGATAAAACCTTCCCAGCATTAAGCTATGGAGGCTTCAAGATATCACATCCTTCTGACACACATCATTGTTGTCATCAAGGATGCAATAAACATTTTTTACAGTGCACCATGCTGCCTCGAGGACAGTTAGGTCACCACCAATGTCTACTGTATATATAAACTCCCAGGTCCGAAGATACATGCCAAGAGGTCACAAATCCCCACCATAAATACAGAGCATTGTGATGTCTGTAGAGTCCAATCAGACTTAGGCCCACCACTCACTGATACAGGACCTGGTTCTATTACTACTGAGCAGGGCACAGTGAGGTGGCTGAAATGAGGTGCACAGTGTGAAATTCCGTGCCATACCCATCCGCAGCAAGCAGAATGTACAAACACCTGAGGAGGGCAGGTCCCAACTTCATTAAGTGTGCTAAGATCACCTACAATGATGTTCTTGCTCTTTGAGCACTGGGATGTCATTCTCACTTAATGTCACTGTGTTCCGAAAACCATTTTGCTTTCCATCAGTGTAGAACAGTCTATTCAGAAACTACAGTTTAAAAACTGCAGTTTTTTTGGTTTCAATTAAGCTTTATTTCAGGGATTTTTGATATTTTGGCCATCGGGTGAAACAACTTAAATTTATGACTTGAAGGTTGATCAAAAATTTTATTAATTTAATATATCACATTAATTTAGTTATGACTCAACTGTTACTTGCTAGCCTCTTATGTTTTATAAATTTTATCTAACAATTTGGGGGGAAATCAGGGACATTTTCCCCAATTTCCATAACCACTCATCTGATTAGATGCCATCTGACTTAAATGTCTCCTCATGTCACCTCCGTGCTTATGATTTTCAACTTCAGAGAGAGCCCTAACACTCAAACACCTTGTGCCCTAGGAGAGCTGCAGGATATCAAGCAGCCATAGTAAGGCCAAGTATAATTCTAATCATGGCAGGGCTGAGAACTCCTGGGCATATGAATGCTCTCTAAAGGAGAGCAGGGAGAACTGAGTTCCCTTTCCTGACCTCTTCACACTATCCTATACATTTCCTTCGGGGTACTTTCCAAAACTATGATTATTTCCATATATCTTCAGTGTCTGCCAGAACCATGAGGGTAAGAACAATGTCAGTCTTATTCAATTCTATGTTCCTAGGGCCAGCCAAACAGAAGGGCTTTAAAAAATATTTGCTGAATGAAAAAGCCCAGTCTTGCCCAATTAAGAGGCCAAAATACGGATTCTAGGTATTTTAGAGAAACTGATAAACTCTAACCCACTTCTCCTTCACAAAAAGTTCTAAACCTCAATGTTAGATTCTGTTCTCTATCAATGCTTTAATCTTTTTTTTTTTTTTTGGAATATTTTCATCTTCAATGTGACATCTCTAAAAGTAATCATCTGTTTTTCTCCACTAGCAATATCTGATAACAGTGACACTCTATGCCATTGGCTGGTAACGAAGCCCCCAAGGGTTCTGCTCTCTCTTGCACTAAGGTAGATTTTCTAGGCCTATATGAGCATTTACAGAATTCAATGGTAACCTAAGGGCTGCCCATCTCATTCAGTAATTTCTATCTAGAAATCTAGCCAAAAGGAATCAATTCCATAAAATATTTACATGTGAAAATATTCACTGAAATATTATTTATAATATTAAAAGAATGGAAACAACCTAAAGCACCAACAATAAAAGATTGGTTAAAAACATTATCAGGTATCCATATGAAGGCAAATTATGCAGTTATTGAAATAGTATTTTACAGATTAATGCATAGAAAAGTTTATAATGTAAATTAATATAAAATAAAAAAGTGAATAAAAACAAAATGCAAAATGAGTGAAAAACATGAAATTTAAAATTGTAGTGTGATCTCTATTTTGTAATGTAATTATATGACCATATATGTAACTAGAAGGAAATAAATCAGACTTTTAACAGTGCCCCAACACCGAACATATTAAACAGCAGAGTAGGCATTCAATCTATGAATGTATTAAATGGATGGGCGATGGGTCACTTTTATAATCTTCCTTAATTATTTCTAAAATTTCAGAATTATTCATAATAAACATTTTTAATGACTACAAAAGCTTTTGAAAAAAGGCTATGACAGTAAATGTCTAATGAGACCACACTGGGCCGAGGAGTGCCCCGCTGAGAAGATACACACCACTCTTCTGGAACTGCTCCAGCTCCTCACTGGTCAGCTGCTTGACGCATGCCATCACCGCCTTGAAGGCTCCCTTCAGACGCTTCCCCAAGACCATGTGATCCGGTTCTGCCCTTAGGCGAATACCATACTTAGTTTTATCTGTAGACAGTGTAACTTTTCGAACATTTAATTCCTATGGTTGGTGGATAAGGTAAAACAAAAACGAGGGAAATGAAAACATATGTCCACAAAATATTGCACACAAATGTTCACAGCAACATTATTCACAATAACCAAAAAGTGCAGCAACCCAAATGCCCATCAACTGTGAATGGATAAAAAAGTGTGATCCATCCATATAATGGACTATTTATTACTTAGCAATATAAAAGAAGAAACACTGATTCATGCTATAACAGGAATGACCCTGGTTTTAAGCGAAACAAGTCAAGACACAAAATACCATATATTATATGATTCTATTTATATGAAATGTCCAGAGTAGTCGCATTCAGAGACAGAAAACAGATACATGGTTGCTAGGGATGGTGGGATCTTGAGGGGAAAAGGGTGCATGAAAGCTAATGGGTACTGGGTTTCTTTATGAAAATGTTATAAAATTGTGGTGATTGGTTGCACAACTCTATAAATAATACTAAAAACCATTGAAGTGTACGGTATGAAAAAACCTTTCTTGTCCAGATCAGTCAAGATAGTTCAACTAGTAGCTTAACTAAAGATGAGAATTAGAAATATAAACTTCACCTCTCGGGAGTAACCTTTGCTCAAGCAATTTCAGAGCACCGCAAGGTTAACTAACCAGAAGAAATCAGTTAACCATAATATTTCTTGCCTCCATTGTGCTAGTTAAGCATTACTAATGCAGCAGGAAATGACGAGAGCACAAGAAATATGAAAAAGATATCACGGAATTGTAGATTGAAGCAAATTGTAGAGCAATGTCTAGTTTTGCCATTATATTTAACTGTATCATGTGATCTCATTATGGTGATTAAGATATTCTATTTACATGTGTTCTATTTTTATCCATATCTGCAAGCATTAATAAGAAAATTTATAACTCTTTAGCTTAAAATATTTACCTGGAATTCTCAAGCAATTCAAAACCAATACAGGTACTAGTATTTTTACAATAATAAATTTAAATACCACTGGTGAAAAAATAAAAATTAAATTTAAAGTATGATATATTTGTTTTTAAAACATTATGGAATAAAGGTTTTTGGAAGGACAACTGACATTAGTTTAAACTCTTCAATTCTAGGAATCTATGCAACGTCCATACCTGACATATGCACAAAGATATACACAAATCTTTTGTTTGTGATGAGTAACCTACATTTCCAACAATAGGAGAGAAATTAAATAAATTATGATATAGCCAGAAAGTGACCATTATGCAGACGTTAAAAAAAAAAAAGTAGATCTCTATGTCTTAACATAAAATGCCCTTTAAGAAATTCTAGGTGAAAAAAGCAAGTTAAAGGCTATATACACAATCCTCTCTATGCACAAACAAAACCAATGGTGATGCATATGTCTGTATAATGTGTGTACATACGTGTAAAGTGCTAGGAACAACCCTAGCAGGAGATGCCCAAGCGAATAGCCCTAGGAGGGGACAGTATTACAGGGAGCGAGTGGGATAGGAAAGGACTCAACTTGTACTCTGTGCTAGTGCTTCAACTGTTTACAACTAACATGTACTGTTTACAACTAACATGTGTTCACTTATTACTTGTATAAAAATCTTTTTGTTAATTATCAAAAAGTACTTTGGGGAAGAGAAGTGGATGAAGGTATAAATGATCAAACTAAGTTAAGGAAATTCACTGACCTTGAAATCATTTTTAAAGAATTACATTGTAAAAATTCAGAATGATTTTAAGCAAAGTGTAAAATTTCATGGATGGTTAAATTTATGTATATAGCTATACACAATAAAAAGGATAAATTATATACTAAAGTTCATTGAAAAGTACTAATGAAATTAATCTTCTCAAGAAAAGAAGTCTATTTGGGCCCAAAGAGAGAAATGATCTTTCTTACCTCAATGATATACTTCTCCAAAGACCTGATATCATTAAGAGCTTCTGGATCTTGATGGATAACCACAATTTCTTTCAAAGGATACTAGGAAGAAAAGGGAAGAAAAAGTTCATTAAGCAGTCAGTCCTCAAAACTGCAGAAAAATGGAATTTTACCCGAATGTCAAGCCCCAGACTAATTAGGCTCACCTAGCACTAAGTCATTCAAACCCTTATTGCAGAAAAGAATAAAAATTTATGCCACTGCTGGAAGCTGTCTATATTAAGAAAATACTCAAAAACATAATTATTTAGGTCTATGCAATGTAAAATATATATAAAAAAAATCTCAGACCTTTATTGGAAGAGTTTTGCGGTCTCGAATCACTCGCCCAAGTTCAATCACAGACTGCATTCGAGATACTGAACTCTCAGTTTTCTTGTCAATCAGTTCCTCTCTGAATGGAAGAGGCCAGGATATGAAAGAGATTAGGTTTAAAAGGAAAAAAAAATCCCAAACAGGAGGCATGCCTAAGTGAGGAAAAGGGTCAGGCTAAACATCGGATGGTGTGGCGAGGCCTCCTGGTGAGGCACCTGGGGACAGCATGTGCTGGCTTTGGGGGTACGTGGCGAAGAGTGGCAGCAAGCCTGGGTGTGCTGTTCGGTACCCAGCAACTCCCCAAGGCAACCCCACAGACCTGCCCACACCCGCTGCTGCAGTGCTGCAAGTGCTTCCACAATGAGCATCCTCCTGCCCATTCTGTATCCTCAGGTAAGTGGCAGGGCACGAAGGGGCTGGGACCCAACATGAGTGCGTCTCTTCCCACCCCATGGCCCAGGTGAGCCTTACATGTATTTGGTTCTTACCGAACATGGGGCAGCATGAGGTAGTGGATGCTGAGTGTGTCCTTGTTCTGGACAGAAACCGGGTCGATCAGCACTTTTAGATTCTGGTACATCAATTCAGTAAGAAAAGGTGTATAAGGTGCCTGTACGAGGACAGGGGACATCATGTTATTCACACCCAGTCATCATTAACTGATCTGAATGGAAAACAGGAACTAAACATTTTACCGATTGACACAGGAATATACATGCAAGTGGATACGAGGTTACTACGCATGTCCTATGAAAGAGGTATGACCGTATTTTGAATTTGGCAAGAAGAGCTTCCTGTGAAGTACAGGACGGGTAAAGCCAGGACCAAAGCATCCTGGAGAATGTTTGTAATAACACAGGAGTTGCCGAAATGTGCTAGCAAAGTCAATATAAAGAGGACTGAATGTCCCTAAAACTCTGCAAACATGGGGAACACCACCTGCTTCATAGGATGAAAGTGAATGAGCTCATATGTGAAGAACCAGGCTCAGGACCTGGTACAAAGTAGGTCTGCATTCCGTATGTGTTCAGAAAATAAATAGAAGGCTTATAAATTACACTGGAATAGCAGAAATAAATTACGGGAATTAAAACTAGATTCTTTTTTTACTTGTATATCATTGTATATCATTTAACTTGTTGGGAGCCATGCAGGCTGGCTGTACTGAAGCATAACTTGTTTTGCTTCTTTCTGCACCTGGAGGGTGCTTGCTTAATCTCGAGGTATGTGGAGAGAATGGCCAGTGCCTTGGGAGACACAATAAAGATAGATGGCTATCTGGGATAATGGAAGAAATTGTCCCCACTGACCTTTAAGTTTCTAGTAGATAATCAATGAGTTACTCTGGAATGAGGTAATGCACATTTGTCCCTTCTGTTTTGTACATACCCTGGATGTGTATAATGGTGGTGGAAAATAAACTCGAGGCTTCAGTATTCACTGAAGTCCTCCCGGTAACTCTCTCTTCTGTCTCTTTTCTTAATCCTCGCGCCCCCCCTCAGGACTGTTCGATTTATCGGCAGGCTCCGATATTAACTAATATTAGTTCAAGAGCTCTCACTGTTGCTCACAGACAATTATAGGAATCCACATGAAGATGAGGGATGTTATTCAAGGGAACTGTGCCAATTCAGTCTAGATGCAAGAACCATGACCTGAAATGTACTGTCAGTGGTGAAAAGAAACAATCCAGCTTTTGAAGCTAAGGTTTCTTAGCCCTTACTTGACATACGTAAGCTAAGAAGACTTCTGAAAAGGAATTAAAAGATTTCTTTTAAAGCCTCTATTTCTGGTGGAACAAATACAGAATAGACAGAGGCGCTGCAAGCAGCCCATAGGGCTGGAGTTCTAGCGTGGGGCCACGACTCTCACCATAAGTCTGCACAGAGAGAACAGTACACTAAACAAGGTCTCCAGGGCCATAACACAATCCTCCATCCCATTTTCACCCTAGTGAATAAAAAAGAAACACATTAAATTGTTAAAACAAAATAAGTTTATTAAAAAGAGGAAACCCATAGAGAGCACACAGTGTACAGACAGAGCAAGGATAAGTGGTCACAACCAACAGGTGGCCTGGGTTCAGTGCAGAAAGCCAGGATAGGGCCAGCTTACTCCATGCCACCTGAGGCCCAGCTGACAGGGAATGGCTCTGTAACTATGAGGTAAGACGGACTGGAGAACCAGAAGGCTGGGGATGCAACAGACAGAGGCAGTTGCTAACACAACAAGTTAAGCTAAAGTACTTCCAGATAAAATGTCTTTTTTTTTTTTAAAGCACAAATATATATCGTGCATTTAAAAAATAATTATATTAATTATTTAATTATAGGAAAAGCATAAAGATAACAGAAAACACAACCATAATTAAGTTACCCAGAGACGACTACTATAAACATTTTAGTGCACGTCGCTGTAGATTATATGTATTTAAACACATACATGCATAATGTGTGTATTTTAACAAAAATGAAATTACCATTCTGTTACAGGCTTTTATCATTAACACATTTGAAGGCAAAGCTGATGGGCGGTGGGAGCTTCCACCTGGTCTGTACTGTGGGGCATCCCTCCCTTCCTGTCTTCTACCATCACTGTTCATGCTCGGCTTAAGTCTGGGGACAGGACCCATGCTTCACTCACTCTAAATCCCCAATAGGCTTAAGGAAGACTTTTGTCCATAAATAACTCCTTAAAGGGATAAACAAGGAGGTGCCACTCATGTCACAGTTGTACACAATAACATTTGAAATTATTTGCATAAATTTATTTTGGGTTTTAAGAGGTCTGCTCAGTTGAGTCCTGCATGGCCGTGAGACTTTCCCTTCAACATAACATGGCCATAACTGTGTTCTGAAAATATGCAAGATGAGTTTTAGAACTTATAGGTCCCCGTCCATCAAATGGCGATAAGTAGTTAATATAGGCGATAAGTAAATAGAAATAAAAAAGGTAGCTTCAAAAACTAACAGCATTTGAAAATGTCCCTTTTCCTTTTGGCCTTGCTCATTTTCGCTCAACTTTCACACTTCCTACACTTTTCGCTCTTCCCAACAGCAGCCTGGGCTTACCTTTAATCTTCTGCGGTTCATTCTGACATACCAATTGGTCAGAACATCCACAAACTTGACGAGGCGAGGCACCACAGTATAGAGCCTGTAAGCTAAAAGTAAGACCAATCAATCAGGCAGTGAGAACATACTAAGCATCTAGAGTGCTTAGGGAAGGGGTGGATACCAGAAAAGAACAGTTAGCTCCCTGCCATGCAAAGGCAACCGTGCTTGTTAAGGAGACAGGAAGAACCAAGTAAAGCAACCACAACCGCTCAATCACTGAGCACATATTATCTGGCAGTCAAGTGTCCAGGTCCAGAGGTGCATACTGTGAGCCACTGTCAGTGAGAAAAGTGGAAACCCACATGTGGCGGAGAGGCTGAGGCTGCCTACCACATGATTCCATGAGGCTCGTGTACCTGGGGCTGAGCAATGCAGCAGCCCCATGAAGGCCCAGCTTCCTTGCTCCTGGCATCTGGGCCCCAGTGATGCTGCTCAGCCTCCATGATGCCCAGCCAGCCCCACCACAGAGAACCACCCAGCTCTCATACAGCCTTAACAGTCCGCAGTGCTGCCACGAGAAACTTGGCAAGAGCAATCAATAAAACAGACAGGCTTTCTAAAGATCAAAATACAGGCATATCTCATCTTATCGTGCTTTGCTTTATTGCACTTTGCAGACATTTTGGTTTTTTACAAACTGAAGGTTTGTGGCAAACCTGCAAGTCTATTTTCCCAGCAGCATCTGCTCGCTTTGAGTCTGTCACACTTTAGTAATCCTCGCAATATTTCAAACCTTTTCATTGTTATATTTGTTATGGTGATCTGTGACCACGAACTGCGCCCACATAGGACTGCAAACTTCACTAATAAATGTTGTGTGTGTTCTAACTGGTCTGTCGACTGGCCATTCCCCCGCCTCTCTCTGCCTCTCCTTGGGCCTCCTTATTCCCTGAGACACACCAATATTGAAGTTAGGCCAATTACTAACCCTATAGTGGTCTCTTAAGTGTTCAAGTGAAAGGGGGGAGCTGCACGACTACTCCTGGTGAAAATGCTGCAAAGATTGTTGAAATGACAACAAAAGATTTGGAATAACACATAAACTTAATTGATAAAACAGCAGCAGGGTTTGAGAGAACTGACTCCAATTTTGAAAAAAGTTCTTCTGTGGGTAAGATGCTATCAAACAACATCACATGCTACAAAGAAATCATTCCTGAAAGGAAGAGTCAACTGATGCAGCAAACTTCATTGTTGTCTAATGTCAAGAAATTGCCACAGCTGCGAAACCTTCAGCAACCACCACCCTGATCAGTCAGCAGCCATCGAGCCACCAACCCTCCACCAGCAAAAAGATTACAACTCGCTGAAGGCTCAGATGATGGTCAGCATTTTTTAGCAATAAAGTATTTTTAAACGAAGGTTATGGATATTGCTATTTAAATATAACACTACTGCACACTTAATAGTGTAAATAAACTTCTACATCCACTGGGAAACCAAAAAATTTGTGACTTGCTATATTATGATATTCATTTTATTGCGATATTCTCTTTATTGGATATTTCCTTTATTGTGATGGTCTGGAACCAAACCCGCACTACATCCAAGGTATGCCTGTAGTCAAGGAAAGAAAGCTGAAGGAGGTGGAGGAAAAAGAAAAGAGCCTTGAGGAATTACGAGTAGAAAAATTTGAAGGCTCCTCTGAGGAACTCAGAGGGCGAGCAGGAAAGTAAGGGCATCTACCAGGTAATCTTATTTGAAGCACAGGCTTATTTTAAGGATTTTCCCATTCACCTTCCTTTTAACTGATACTCTGTTGCACAACACAATTTATATTAATGAAGAGGAGTTCAGTGACTGTCAATAAAGCTCATGGCCTAAGCAAGCAGTGAGAAGTTGCCAAGGGCAGAGCTGCTCTCTGCTGCAGTTCAGAAGGACCAGAGTGAGGTGCTGGCGGCCAGACCAGGCCCGTCACTGGCTGGCTGCACATTCCTAGACGGGACTTCTGTGATCAGAGGCCTAAATTATTTCTAGGTTTCACAACACTGTTTTGCCTTGTAGGAAGCCAGAATTTCCTATGTTCAGGTTTTAATGCTTACAGAGTAAACTGTGCCACATATAATGAACACACAATAAACAGAAACAGCAGCAGCTACTGCTGAGATCACTAACAGAAGTGGCAGATTCTTCAAGGATGCTCCTCCTGCAGACGTTATGTTGACGAGGAAACTGAGGGCATGAGCTGACAGGCTGGTGAAGTGGGAACTACATTGAGCAGTCCGGATCTGCAGCCTATCCTGTCAGCTATCTGCGTACCGCCTGGCCTCTCACCCCTGGCTCTTACTACTCAGCTCACGTGCACAGCTGCTGCCTAACCTCTACTCTGCAGCTGGTCAGGGAGCTGCACCCGGCAAGGGTGTACACTCTGGAGGGCATGGCAGTGGCTGCCCAAGTATGGCAGGGACCCCAGGCAATAATCCCGGCACTGTTTCCCACCCACTCATGTCACTCAGGAGGGAAAAGCGAGCAGGTGCCCCCCCATCCCCGGAGGGTGAATTCCCAGCTCAGCAGTCTGCCTCCCACATACATTTCCAGCGTCATGTCTATCAACAGCTTGATAGTCACATGATCCTTATTATGAATGTTTACGGAGGTGGACACAGTCCTCCAGGATGACTGATAAATATGTGCAGTCTCCTCAGCTCACTGTCCTGCTGTGCCCAGTGCAGAGGCAGCTACTCCAGTCATAGCCACCGACCGGCTGAGGTGAGGCTGACCCCGAGTGAAGCACAGGTTGCTCTGCCTGCCCAACCCACTAGAGCGCTGTAGCGGCACCGCAGCATGGGCGACCACAGGGCGCTGGAGGAGGCAGGTCGGCCTCGCCAGGGTGTGCACAGGGAAGCCCACCTACTCTCTCAGACCCGTCTCAAGTGTCCTAGTCAACATTTTCTGGAATTTCTCACCTTAACTTATGGCTGTTCTACCTCTAACCTTGAGGAAACCAACATAACCGACTTTTCCAACCTCTGTATAAAACCAAATTCGTTGTGTTAGGTAACGGAAATATGGGGAAATGTCTACTCCATTACTGCTTTCTGTATTTCCTAATTTTTCTAGACTGAACAAGGACTACTTACTTAATAATTAAAGTAGACCTGAACATAAATGAAGAATATATTATTAACAAGTACTACTTATTGAGTACCCGTTATCTGCCAGCTACTTTATGTGCACAATGATCTCTCTTTGAGCCTTGTAATAACTCTAAGCAGGCATTTTTCACAGAAAGAAATTGAGGTTCATAGACTATGCAATGCTTCCCAGGGAATACCTGGTAGAGTTGGGTTTTGAACCCATAGCCATCCAGTACTGAAGCCTGTGATTCCATGTGCCCGTGTGGTGCCTGTGGAGAGGTGAGGTGCTGGATATCCTGACACAATTGCCTAGGCCTTTGACCAGCATACTTCTACAACAAGCCTTAACAAAAATATATTTGAGTGTTAAAAGAAACAATTGCTTATCTACTATTTTGTATCTCTTAAAATTTCTATAAAATTTCCTCTATGTTTATAAATAAAAAGTTAAATATCTAAAGAGCAATCCTAAAGAGAAGAGTCTTTAGTCCTGGGAGGACGGCCAAAGAGAGACACACCTGTCATTTCGGTCTTAAAGAATCCAATTAGCGACTGCATGAAGGACAGGACCCATCGGTCTGTGATGTTGGCACTTTCTTTAACTGTGTTCTCATTGTAGAGGAATTCCATTTCTTCCTCCTAGTAATTGACAATTATTGAAACATTCTGCATGCTTGGGGGAAATTAATGTACAGGAAAGAATTTTTAAAATCATTTTAACTGAAAAGCAATAGCCAACCAAAAAAACCCCAAAATACAACAAACAATCAATCAACAACAATAAAAACCCCAGACCTGATGGCAATCTAAATTTCTGATTCTCAGTAATATTTTCCAGATAAGCTCTAAACTTGGGACATTAAGTCATCAATTAGTGAATTACATTTTTGAGTGAAGTAAGGGGAATTTAGGAAAAAATTATTCTTCTGCACAAATGAATGACCATGAATAGAGAAATAATCCAAAATCTTGTCAATAAGTACAGGGTTTAGTTATTTTAAATCTGAGAGGGAACGACAGTAAAACAGGCAAGCACTGGATAACTGTCTCTAACCTGAAAATAGGCACTAGGAATTAATCTCTGCTTACATTATTTGTTTTATCCAGAGTGATTCAGTCCACCCCTTCTTTTTCCTTTGCAAAATCTTCCTCAGTTCTGAGGGCCCAGCCCACCTGTCCCTGGTCACAAAGCATCACTATCAGGCTGGCAGGCGGCAGCCAAGCTGGCCCTTGCCCTGATTTATGTGGCTAGTGGTGAAGCATGTGTCTTGCTGCAGAACAGCAGCGGCCTGCGAAGTGGACTTGCCTAAGGACTGTTGGCCCCATAAGGTAGCAGGATCGAAAAGCGAGGAACACCACTAGGGCCTGGGAAAGACAACTGCCTTTCTCAAGTCACAGGGAAAAAATGCCTGCTGGGAAGGCTCGTCAGCAGACCTAGACAAACCAGAGGCAGCAGGAATCAAGTGACCAGATTGCTAGCGTGTGATGTTCAAAGCTCAGCTTTCCTACGAGTTTTTCAGGAATGAATAACATCACATGTTTAGTCAACAGTAATTTAGTATGCAATTCTTCTGGTAAGCTGCTGGAGATCAAAAGATGAGTGGTATCTGGGCACTCATCCCAAATGAGTCCTGAAAGCAGACAGGCACATGTGGCATGAAGCCTGCCGGCTTGAGTGCAGTCAGCGGTGCAGCAGGGGTGGCTTCTCAGAGAATGCCTCCTGGGCCAGCAGGTAATGCTCTGAAGGCACTTTCACATGTATCACAATCAGTATTTCAAATCCTAACAACTCAATGAGAATTTCTCTCAGTCTCGGCCCAAATGCACCTACTGAGGGGCCTTCCCTGACCATACCTGCAGCGGCTTTCACCAGGCATTCACTCTGACAAAAGCTGACTCTGCACTGGCTCCCCCATGCCCCATCCCATCTGGTTCCACGAGGGGAAGGGAATTGGCTGACTAAATGAACATCCAGGTGAGGCCTCTGTGTCTGCAGTGGTGAGCCTGCCCAGATGGTCTAGCTCTGGTCCCATGCTCCCAGCCCGGCAAGGACCCTAGATACCTTCATCTGCGCCCTCCCCAGTGGCTCTGAGCCCCCACCCACAGCGCGGTGGCCCACACCTTCTGCAGCCTCAGGATGTTCTGGATGAAGAAGCGATAGGCGTTGTACCAGGGGAGCAGCACGTCCTTCAGGACGTCGCGCACACCCTCCTCCTTAAAACGGAGGTTTTCTGCTCTCACTACCGGGGAGTTAATCAGATATAATCTGGAAGAGAAAAATTATACAGAAAAGGAACACTGACAGTAACCAAGTATTACTTGACATTTTGATAGGGCAACACAAAAATTAGCATTTTTTTTTCCTACAAAAGGCGATAATTTGAACTCTTCAAGTGGTCTATTTAAACCCAACAAAGCTCTCACTTTGACATGTAAGAGACCTATCCAATTATAAGGGAGATGTCACCCCACACCAACCTAGATGATATCCTGGGCTGGTCGCAGCACAGGCCATGGCAGGGTGGGAGAACCCAGAGGAAGCAGCCAGTGTTTTCCCAGGTCACCACAGACAGGCACCTGAGACTCATAGAACAGCTGTGTGTTCTGCCACTACAGAGCGGCTGGTGGAGGGGGTGGCTTTGCACCTGAACACTCCAGTTTTCATGACTATGGTTATTTCAGGCAGTGGCTCACATTCTCTAAAAGCTTTTCAGTATTAGTTTTTATTTGCTGTGGCATAAATACACCTCGTGGCTCTTATGAGGATTAAGTGCAAAACTGAAATAAAGGATATAACACCAAAAAGATGGAGATCTTAGACAGGGAGTGAGACGGAAACACCAGTCACTGGCCTGGGAGTACCCAGCTGCTCAATAAAACCCAACACAGGTCCTCATCCTCCAAGGATCTCTAGATTTGGAAATGTCTTTATTATTTAGAAAACTGCCTTGGGGGTTTCAAATCAACATCATACAAATGTAACTCTCCCTAAAACAGAGATACGTTTTTAAAAAGCTGATTATAAACCAAATCTTAGGAACATGATTAACAGAGTGACAGATGTTTATGTAAAAAATGACAAATACACACAAGGCAGAGCACCAGTTTGTACCTGAGGGCATCAGCACCATATTTATGGATGATTGAAAGTGGATCTGGATAATTCTTTTTTCGTTTGCTCATTTTTTGGCCGTCACTTGAAAACAAAAGGGAGATGCCTATTAAATAAAAGTCAACATCACAACTTATATATGGTTACAGATGATTTCCAATTGGAATACATAAATACAAACTAATTAGCATACAAGCTAATGTTGAAGTTGTTTTGTTAATATCAACAAGCTTCTTTTTGAATACTGTGTTCAGTCAATGGAGAAACTTTAGGAGAGATGAAAGCAGGAAGACATCATAATGTAACAGTTAAAAACACAGGCTTGGCATGTACCCCAGAGAAATGAAAACTTATATTCACACAAAACCTGTAACAAAGTTCATAGCTTTGCTCATTGTCAGCAAACACTGGAAACAACCCCAAAGTCCTTTAGCAGGTGAACAGTCCAACTGGTCACCCTCCCCAAGGGACACTGCTCAGCAATGGGAAGCAACAAAGGATACACAAGCACCTGAGGAACGTCCGGAGAATGACACTGAGCGAAAAAGCCAATCCCAAAGGTCGTGTACGGTATGAGTCTACTTATGTAACATACTGGAAATGACAAAATTCCACAGATGGGGAACACATTAGTGGTTCCCAGGGTTGGGGATGAGGGTGGAGGGGCGGGAGGGTGTGGGCAACAGAGATCCTGTGATGTTGAAAGGGTAAAGTATCCTGACTGTGCTGATAAGTACAGGAACCTACTCATGTGATAAAGCTGTACTTAACTAGATACACACAGTAAATTAGTACACACAAAACTGGGGAAATCTGAATAAGATCGGTAGACTGTACCAACATTCTGGTTGTGACAATGTAGTCCAGTTTTGAAAAATGTGACCACTGGGGGAAACTGGGCAAAGCTCACAAGGGGTCTGTTATTTTTTACAACTACACACAAATGTACAATTCAATAAAATTTTCAATTAAAAATTTTAAAAAGCACAGACTGTACAATCAGACTTATTTTGCTGTGTGACCTTGGGCAAGTTACTTAGTTTTTCTGTACTTCAAATTCCTCAGTGTCAAAACAGGGTAATTAAAGAGCCCACCTCAATTTGGGGATTAAATGAGGTAAGACATATAAATGCTCACAACAAGGCCTGGCATAATGTGTTAGGTGTCCGCATTCCCCTCTAATGGCACACAAAGTAGGGTATCTATGCAAGCATTTCTATTTATTTATGATTTTACTTTTAATGACTAGAGGCAGTAGAAAAATAAGACTCCAATATAATACTAGAAGCCTCTAGAACCCATAATTTCCTCATATATTAAAAAGAGGACAACAAAAATCTATCTTAAAGGACCTGTATACAAATTACATAAGAGCTATAAGCAGAAGTACTTCATAAAATTCTAAAATAATAAATATATTATTTTATCACTAGAAATACCACAGGAAATTCCTGCCCTTCTGCCTCCTCCGTGAGGCTTAGCTCTCAGTCCAGCCCTTCTCCCTAAGCAAGAGGGATGTGTGGAGACGGAATGCTGAATGTGGAGAAGTGCACGGGACATGAGCCGGATGAAAAGGAGGATGGCAAGGGGTATAAAGGCAGAGGGGAAACAGCGGGAACACAACTGGGGCATCCCTAAGCTCCTCTATTCACCAGAATGGTTAGATCCAGCCAGAACCTGGCTGGCAGAATAAAGGAGAGCTGGAGCTTGGCATGACACAGAAGGTGCACCTGCCTCGCGAGGACGAGCCCGTTCACAATCACGTTCCTGAAAGGCGGCTGTCCAAACAGAGCTGTGGAGAGCACAAGCAGGGTGTAAAACCTGGAAAAAAAAATTGCACAAAGAAATAGTTATGAAAAACAAAAAAGGAGACCAAGCATAATAGGCACATACTGTTGACTTATTGAACTGAATTTCTATTTTAGATCTGTTACAGCTCATGATAACATGATAATCACTTAAATAAAAGTTATTACTTCTGGTGACATGTTAGAATCACATCCAGATTGCTGAAAAATTACATGCAGGACCCACAGCGGATTAATCATATTAGAACTTCCGATTAGGGAAAAAAATGTGATTTAAAGCAAACAAAGGCCTGGAGTGAGGACAATACCAGAGTCCTCTTCAGAGCTGGGCTCAGAGCCACAAGACAGTGCTGGGTGGCCTCTCAGGACCTCCTCAAACACAAGGCTAATCATCAAGAGACGGGTGTCACCTTTAGCACAGGGTCTATGGGACAGTCTGATGACAAGCAAAGATGCAAAAAGCACTCTCATCCAAAAGTCAAAAGATGGACTACAGGAACATAGAAAATGTTTCATTCTGTGAGATATCACGTATGTCGTTTATTTGCTAGCTACCTTGTTCCCTAAAAGAACTGCATCACTTCCCTGTAAGTGACGCTCGTGTCACCTCCAACACGATTCTGCACCCCAAGACCATCACAAGATGTGAACTGATGAAGATGGAGACCACACCCCATGCCTATGTAAGTACCTGACCAGACATCCCTCCCTCTAAGGCAGGTCACAAGGACTCTGGTGCCTAGGAGAGGCAGCCCACACCTGAGGGAAGGGGGTGGAGGCAGTGTGCACACAGGAACCCACATAAGGACAGTTGCCAGATGCACCACTCCTCAGAGAAACAGCCTCCTGGTGAGTCATCTGGCCCTTCCTAAGAACAGGAGTTTGTGCCTGGGAGCGGTTCCTACAGGTAAGTGGATTGGAAGCTGAAAACAGCAATTTCCAAAGCACTAAGACTGGAATTCAATCCGTTGTGATGACCACCGCGATTTGTAAAAGCAGAAAATGATGGCAACATTCCTGAACACTCCTGCAGAAACATCACTGATGAAAGTGTAATTAGAACCTGGTCAGCCAAGCTTATCCACAAAGAGCCTTGCCTTACCTTTTGATAATTAAGAGGATGAGGGTACTGCTTTAAATAGGCACCAGATAAAACCTATGCCAAAATATCCACCCTGTGTATTTTTTGTTTTTAAATCTAGATTTTTTTAAATAATGTTAATTTTGTAAGGCTAGCCGAACGTCTGAGCACATTTCTCCCAAGTCTCCCTCAAATCTGTAGTACCCGACCCATTTCCTTGTACGTAAATACTCATTAATCATGTGAGTAAATGATTTGAAGAAAACAAGCTATGTTGCAAATTGTGTTTTGTATCACTTAAACTTCCAGTAAAACAAATCTCTATATTCTAAGATGTCAGTGAAATAATTCAAACTCTAAAGCTACAGCCCTACCATAGTAAGAGATTCCTACTCAAAAGATACTCTGATGGTTTACTTGGTGGTGAGGAACAGAGGACAGCACAGCCTGTCTCATCGGACACAAGCTCCCTAACAAACAGCTGATAAATGCTAGGTGCTCAGTACAATAACTGCTAAATCAAATCAAATCAAATCAAATCATATCAACAAAGCACTTGAAAGAACAAGGAACATATACCATCCTCTGGTTTGGTCAATGCCTTCAGCAATGAAGTCTGCAGGAAACGCCTCCTCAAACTCCCTCTTGTTTTCAAATGGATAATGAACTTGAGCATAGGGCATGCTGCCACTCTCGAACCAACAGTCAAACACTTCAGAGATACGATGCAACGATCCCTTCCCACAACGTGAAGGAATAGTCAGATGGTCGATGCTAATAAACAAAAAAGTAGCCATTTCTATTAATTTTAAGCACAACAAAACTTGCAGTTTAATTGCCAGTAGAAAACACAATGTCTTTTTTTTTTCTTTTTTTAAGATTTTGTTGGGGGGTTTGGGGAGGGGAACAGCATTGGGGAATTGGGGAAGGGGAACAGACAAGTTGCTGTCCTTTTTGTTCTTCAATCTAGTTGTGGAGGACATTGCTTCACTGGCCCATGTAGGTATTATCATTGCGCTCTCACCGGGTGAGGCAGTCACTCGCTGGCCATTGGACGGCTGCTCCCGGCAGCTCCCGGCAGCTCACGAAAGCTCACACCTGCTGCCGGCCGGCCCCACTGCAGCTTACGCCGTCGCCAGCAACTCACGCAGCTCAGCTCCAGGTGGAGCTGTTGTTCATCATCTTAGCTGTACAGGGCGCAGTGTCACTGGCCCTCATGTGGGATCCGACCCGGGGCCCTACTGCTCAGAGCTGGCCTCCTAAGCCAACTCCCAACCAATGCGCCACTCGGCCGGCCCTGAAACACAATGTCTTGACAAACTTTTCTTTGCTTTTCTTTTTCTTTCTCTTTCTTTCTCTCTTTCTCTCCTTTTCCTTCCCTTCCCTTCCCCTTCCTTCCTCCTTTCCTTTTCCTTCCTTCCTTCCTTCCTTCCTTCCTTCCTTCCTTCCTTCCTTCCTTCCTTTTGTTCTTTCGGTCTTTCTTTCTTTTTTCTCAATTCCTATTTATTTTTGGCTCTTAGGCAATATCATTTTTTTTTCCAATATGAAAAAAAGCAAGTTCAATACAAACTAGAAATTTAAAGTATAGGATGGTAGGACAAAACCAGGGGTGGGAGAAAATGGCAATAGCAAAAGAGATGAGATGTTGCCAAAAGATGGTGTCCTGTCCCCTCCCCTCTGGGGAATGACTCAAACATTTAGGTGGCAGGGCATACCTTTCCACACACAAGCTCTTTCATATACATCTACAAACAGAAATATCGGCAGTTATGACAGGCTTAAGGTTACATACCAAAGTCCCCTGACACCTAATTCAGGACAGAGGTAACCTTTCCTCAGTATGACATGAGTCATTAACAACAGTGGAACTCGGCAAACTGGTGTTTCATTTATACATGTAGCTCTGTGATCTGCTACAGAGACCATGTCTTAATAGGCTGGAACCTAGCCCGATCCTCTCTGAACGACAGAGCTGACATGAATCAAACATCAGGACTGACCTCTCTCTGTGGAGATCTGAGACCTTTGCTCCCGACAGTTCTTCAAGTTCTGCTGTTGACCCAACGCATACCACCTGTCAAAACAAAGTAAAAAAGCAGGAATCCCTCAGAGCCAGAGATCACACAGAGTTAATTTCTGTAACACTCACATTTAGTTTTAGAAACTTAAGCACAGTCGTCACCGACGTGGCTTACCCTCATGGAAGGCTGCTTGCAGGTCACTGTCTGAAGATGTGAGCAGACTTCACTTCCTTGCTACCTATCCTATTTCAGAGAGAGGCCCTACATTGAGAGGATTTTAAACATTCACAGCCATCATCTCTACAAGTATATCCTGAGGGATTACTACATCCAAATGTTTGCCAAAAATAGCCAGCAGAAGTAAAAGGCCTAGACTATATTACTCTAAGGCATCTTAGCTTTCTCCTGGCACTTGAGTTTGGCTCTTTAATCTGAATCTTCCCACGTCAAAGCTAGAACTAAATTACTGTGCTGAATAAAAACAGCCACATCACAAGATGCTAGGATTATATCCATTAAGGAGGCTGAGAGATGGGCCCAGCTGTGGTCCTCACAACAGGGGGAATCACCTGATAGGGGCTGCACTCCCAGGAGCTGCTGTTGGTCTCAGCCAGGGGTGCCCACTACCTAGAACACCCACAGCCTCTTTCTCTGCCCTTCCTGATTAGTCCTAAAAAGGATTCTGATTCGGCAACTTCACTGTTGCCTTTCAGGACCCTCCGCACAGAAGATTCACAGAGGTCCCTGGGCTGCTGTGGTTCACGACTACTCTAATGGTCTCAGCTCAGTGCTGAACGGAAGGTCCCATCATGGGAATGGGAATACATCTATAGTACTAGATAGGTATTTATATAGATATACACACATACACTCACATGATCACTTGGTTTTATAAAGGTCTGCAATGCTTTGGTAGTTTTCTTTTCTTTTAATTGGGGAATTGGGGGAAGGGGAACAGACAAGTTGCCGTCGTCCTGTTCCTCAGTCCAGCTGTGGAGGACATTGCTCCACCGGCCCATGTTGGCACTATCATTGTGCTCTTCCCGGGCGAGGCAGATCAGTCGCAGGCCTCCACACAGCCACCCATGCCGGCTGCCGGCCACACACGGCAGCCCATGGCAACCCACTGCAGCAGGGGCTGCAGCCTATGCCGTCGCTGGCAACCCACAGCAGCCCAGCTCCAGGTTGAGCCGCCGCCCAGCATCCCAGCCAAAGAGGGCAGCGTCACCGGCCCTCATATGTGGGATCCGAACCGGGGCCCTCTGGCGTCCCAAGCCAGCTCCCAACCAACGCGCCACTCGGCCGGCCGGCCCAGTAGTTTTTTTAAATCTTCCTTTTTCATTGCTATAAAGTAGGTTTAACACACTATAACTTAGTGCAGGGGCCAGAGTCCATGTTTTGTTCATCAGTAACTCACAAGGAAAAAAAGATCTGAGCAACACAATTTAATGTGTGGCTTGCCTGAGAAAAATACAAATTGCATTCTTCACTTTTACAAGGGAAATTTTTAAAAATTGTCTTAATTAAAGTATTGTAAAGTAAAAATTAAAAACCCTAATAATCCTATTTATGTCATAATTATAGGAAGCAATAATGAGAAAAAAATAGATGAAATAAGAAAGGGGCAAAAAAAAAAAAAAAAGAAATCATTCTTTTACCCCATATTCAGATGGCATGACCAAAACGCTTCAACAAAAATCAACACAAGGAAACATCGCCAGCCTCACCTCTTCGAAGTCCTCGCTGACCCACAGCGGGATAGGGGTGCCCCAGTATCTGTTTCTAGAAATTGCCCAGTCATGTGCATCTTTCAGCCAATTTCCAAATCGCTTTTCTCGCACAAACTCTGGGACCCTGCAATAAACATTTCAGATACACAATCATGTAAGAACATCAGTAAGTAAATTTGTAAATGAGATCTGCACAAACCTTTGTATGACGCTCTGTGAATCTAACACCCTGGAAACACTGAGCTCACACGTAGGAGATGGTCTTCTGCATGGACAGACCAGGTGACCCACAGTGGATGTGTCTGCTGTGAACTCGTCCCATGAAGATGCTGTTTAATAATAGGAAACTCCAGAGCACATAGCTTCCCCAACTTGCTCTCCAACTGGAGGACTGCCACAATCCTCTAACCAGTCGCCATGATGCTAGTTAGCCTGGTCCCACTCAGATCTAGTCTCTGGGTCATCCACACAATAGCACTTTACCTGTAACTCACTAGGAAGGGCTCACAATCACCTATGAGTCCCAACAGGCTAGGCCAGGGGTTGGCAAACTTTTGAGACGGAAGAGCCGCCAGGGGTCAGCAAACTGCAGCTCGCGAGCCACACGCGGCTCTTTGGGTACGTACGTGTGGCTCTGAAGTAAAATTGAAAATGAAAATAAAACGATCATAGTTCTCATTTATAAAGTTTTTAAAGCATATTATTCACATAATGGTGATTATGTAAAAATATATTTATGGCTCTCGAATAATTTTTAAATTGTTGTGAGGGACAGGATTGGCTTTTCCAGGGGTCAGCAAACTTTTGAGACAGAACGTACCCAAAGAGCCACGTGCGGCTCACAAGCCGCAGTTTGCAGATCCCTGGGCTAGGCTACTGGTAGCCGGTGGGTAGCTGCCTATCCAGGCTCACCTGCAGTAGATTCCCTTGGCATTGCACTTCAGGCTCTGACAATGAGGCACGCTCCTTAGAATGCGGCTTCTCATCTCACCACCTTTGCTTGTACCACCCCTCCCTGTGATAACTTTCACCCCGTAGTCCCCCTTATCCTCAGCCACCATCTCAGCCCTCTAAGCTTCTACTGCCTCTGACTGGTAAATGACTCCTTATCCTTTGAGGTTTGGCTTTGCAGGAAACCTTTCCAAGCTCAAGGCTGAGTTATGTCGCAGACATCCTGTTCTCTCAGGTACTGTGGTTACAGTCCTATATTATAAATATCAATTTATAGGCCTGCATCCCCCATGAGGCTACCATACTAATATTCCACACCCAGCACTTTACACATTAGGGGACTAAAGAGCTGTCTAGGTATAAAAATGAAATAACTGCTTTTTCTTGAAAAATTGGGTCACTTTGCTAGGAAATAAAGAAAGCTATAGCAATTTCCTTTTACTGCCCTGAGATTCTCCCCATTCTTTCAAAATAAAATACAGTCTTTAAGTTGAGTTGGGTTTTTGTGGGAAGTAAGAAATAGTAATTACCCTCCAAACTCAGTGAAAACATTCTTCTGGAACACATAGATTTTAGCCTTACTTCACTTCATGTTTGTACCTCCAGGTTGAAGTAACATCTGTCTGCGGTCAGATGTGAGCTATAAAAGCACGGCTTCTGTCCCCACAGAGCTTCTCCACGAAGCCAGCCTGAACAAGACACCATCATATCCATGGACTTCCACAAGAATCAGTGGAGCTGAGCAGTGCAGCTGACCCCTAACAACACGGGTCTGAGCTGCACGGGTCCACTGAGAAAGAGATTGTTTTCCACTGTCCTGTGCAGTTCAAACCCGTGTTGTTCAAGGGTCAACTCAGAGGTCGGGAATCCACGGATGTGGAGGGTGACTAGTTATACAAGGATTTTTGAGTGTGCAGAGGTTGGAGCCCCTAACCCCTGCGTTGTTCAAGGGTCAACTGTAATTATAAATGGCTTTTGTAGGTACATCCAAAAATAAACGTTTACCTTGAAAATGACTATTATTTAAGGCTGACAAACTGAGAGTATAGCCATATTTTTTTCAGTTATTCCATTCTGTAAATTTAATAAACAGCAGTATCTTGTTTCTATTTTTTTTAATATAAAAAGCTCCTCTATATATGCCTTATCATAAGAAGGGTGCTACTTTGTTATATAATAACAAAAATGCAGAATAAAAAATAGGCATTATTACAATATACAATAAAAGATGGCTATTAAAAGTATTATAATTTGGGGGAAGTGTGAACCAATATTGACTAACTACATGACAAAGGACATTATAAAGACACATATCGCTGCTCACCAGTAGCACTGGTCATTGTTCCTCAGCAGCTGGCCTACCATGTGCTCCACCCGCACGAACCAGCTGGGCACTGCCTTGTAAATGAGGGGGGTGTCAGACCTGGGGAAGCAAAAGTAAGAATGGGCTGGTCAGACTGAGGGATGCAGTCACCAGGCTCAGAATGGCCTTTACTTTCTTCCTGAAATCACCTCTACCCCTCTGGCTTTCTGCTGATATTCATTCCCAAAGCCAAAACCAATGTCCAGGTCCTCAGTACTGGTCATCTCCCTCAAAAACACTAAGGAAGGCAAAAGCTAATAAAAGAACAAGACAAAAGAAAATTATAGTTGTGTTGCTGTGTGACAGCTGTCTAAAAAATGATATCAACTTCCGCAAAGATGAAACGTGGAAACATAATGCCATTGGATATTCCATTTTCGCCCATATCTTTATAATGTTCTTGTATGAAAACTTGTATCACATATTTTTCACTAAATTCCATTAGAAAATTTTAGCGATATATCTCATCCTAAAGAAATGTGGCCGCAACACAAAACATATTTATACATATGAGATAATAGAAAACACACACACACACACACACACACACACACACACACACAGGTCTCTGCCGCTGGTTCCTGGCACAGAGCTCCTGAAACCCTTATAATTTCCTGGGTGATAGGAGTGTCTTTTTTTCTAATGAGGTGACTCTGTGTGGGCTCCTGGATGAGGGCTGGTCACCAGAAAGAACAAGCCATGATAGACACTTGAAATTGTCAGCCCCGTCCTCCATTCTCCTGAGAGGGAGAAGGGTTGAAAATGGAGTTAATGATCCATCATGCCTCATGATGAAGCCTCCATAAAAATCTCAAAGTACAGGGTTAGGGAGCTTCCAGGTTCATGAACACATTCACATACCGGGAGGGAGACACACCCCTACTCCATGGGGACAGAAGCTCCTGCATTCAGGATCCTCCCAGACCTTACTCTCTGTTATCTCTTCATCTGTACCCTTTACCATGTCCCTTAATAAACTGGTAAATGTAAGTAAGTGTTTTCCAAAGTTCTGTAAGCCTCTGTAGCAAATCAATTGAACTCAAGGAGGTGGTAGTTGGAAGAGAGAGAGAGAGAGAGAGAGAGAGAGGGAGAGGGAGAGGGAGAGGGAGAGGGAGAGAGAGAATGTCTTGTGGGACTTTTCATCTCTGGGATCTGATGCTATCTCTGGATAGATAGTGACAGTACTGAATTAAATTGTAGGACATCCAGCTGGTGTCACAGAGATTGCTTGGTGTGGGGGAAAACCTCCACAACTTTGGTGGCCAAAAGTGTCAGAAGTGAAGTGTTTTACTTCAGTAGTAAAGGAGACTCAGAGAGTAATGAAACACAGTAGGAAAGAACTGGATTTTTCTCTTAAGCGCAGGAGACTGAACTGGGTTTTTCCTTTACATCTATGTCTATATTTCTCACACAACTCCTGAGGAAAGAAATAACTGCATGCATTTATAAACTTCTTGAAACAAGAAGGCAGTTTACAAACACTAACTCAAAGAATACAAATGATTTGGGAACCACAAAATGATGGGATGGGCACACGTATTAAGTGTATATACAAATCTAAAGCTCTGGCTACAACACAGTCTTCATTTCACTTCTTCTCACCTCCAGCAGAAAGGGTAGTTGTGAGTGAAGGTGGTGGCAACAAGAAGTCGGCCTTGTTCCTTCAGGGTCCTGATGATATTTTTGTCAGCGTCCTGTTAAAAAAAATTAAGATCCAGCCATTAAAATATTCTACAGGGCCGGCCGAGTGGTTCAGTTGGTTAAGAGTGCGAGCTCTGAGCAACAGGGTTGCCAGTTCGATTCCCACATGGGCCAGTGAGCTGTGCCCGAGCTGAGCTGCCCCTGAGCTGCCAACAGGTGGCAGGATGGCTCAGCTGGTGAGAGCACATGCTCCTAACAACAAGGTTGCCGGCTCAACTCCCTCATGGGATGAGGTGCTGCCCCCAACCCCCACAACTAAGAGTGAACACGACACCTTGGGCTGAGCAGCCTCGAGTTGCCAACCAGCGACCATATGGCGACTGGACTTGGAGCTGAGCTAGCTGCGCCCTCCACAACTAAGACTGAAGGACAACAACTTGGCTGTTCCCCTTCCCTAATTCCCCAACACTGTTCCTCTCCCCAATTCCCCAATAAAATCATAAAAAAAACACACAAAAAACAAAGGCAAAAAAAAATTCTATAATACTTAGTGACACAATATAATTACTAAAATCTGATATTTGGATACCTTTACTATGAATAAAAGGCACAAAATACTTGGTCTGTATTTTAGCCACTACAAAACTTCACGTACTTTTAAGTATATTCCATACAGTCAAGGTAGTGAAGTTTACAATCAGCAATGATTACCCCACAATCACAAATTTGCTTCATGAGTCACAAAGAAGAGCCCAGTTTTTCTAATTCCTATGCTTGAAACTACAGCATGCTTCCTCTGAAGATACTAGACTCTTGGAATGTAGTTGATAATATCCGCCTATCTTTCCTGATTTTATGTGCTGAAACGAAACGAAACCAAACCAAACCAAACCAACTTCCTGGGAAAAAATCCCAGATGTGGAAGCTATCTGATAAAAACTGATTAATGAAAAAAGTATGACGAAAGTGACACCTTTTTATGTCATCCAGTCACAGACCTTCACATATTGTCCCACGAAATCTGTCACTTCGGCTGTGAAACAGCCTGAAGCATCCACAGGGCAAACAGGGACAGAGTCTTTCTGAATGACATTGAAGTCCATACAGACCCGATAGTCATCCTGGAAAGGGAGAGGGAGAGGGAAGGAAGAATAAAACAGTTGAAGTGGATGGGGTAAGAGAGGAGTGCATGAGGCGGTAGATTTACAGGATAATTTTTCAGTATTCTGACAAATAAATGTAATCAGCTGTAACTATCCTCTCAACTGAAGTTAATTCAAAGACAATTCAGAGAATCAAAGAGCCCTACAGTTGGACAGGGGATTAGATCATCAAGCCCAGTCTTCACAGCCATTATTTCACAGACCCCTACATATATGAGTATCCACCAAGTGAGAAGAAAGGTGATGCACATGAATGTATTGAAATCCAATGTGATTTACAACAGCAGCGTATATGCAGATGAGTGTGTGCACAAAACAGAAGCACACGTGGGTGTATGGCACGAACTATGCAGTATTGCATGATGCTTGACATGCCTACGGATTTGCATCCTGCCAAGATGCACCTGGAAGACGGTAATACCGATCAAATGCCAAGTACTCACTTTACCTGGGCCCCAGGTATCCCAGCTCAGTGCTTCAGGAACACATTTTGAGTAGTGTTAACAATTAGAACAAATACAAAAAACACTGTATCAGATAACACTCTGACCATTTTACAACTTAGCTCGTTTAACCTTAACAATGCTACGGAAAAGGCTGACTGGTGCACTAGGTTTTAGCATGTGTTTCCCTCGCAAAGACCAAAAACTACCCCATCTTCCAGATGAGGAAGCAGTGGCACAGACAGAGACCTCAGCTGCAAAGTGCCAGTGCTCACCTTTAAAACCAAAGAGGCTGGCTGGAGTCCAGAGTCTTCACTGCTGTGCTATGCTGGACTGTCTCAGGCTCAATGAGGAAACCACACTCCAGTTTGACTCCAAGACAAGATGGAAAACAAATACACTTCTACCCAGGCCTGTGTCAACTCTCACTGTGTGAGGGGCTGCCTGGTGTGATGTGACACGTGTGTGCTAACAGCACATGTGGTGACAGCCTGGTGTGATGCAGCATGTGGGTGTGCTAATAGCACGGGAGGTGACGACCACGTATGATGTGACACATGGGCGTACTCAGAGCACAGGCAGTGGCGGCCTACCCAACAAGCACCTGTGCAACAGGCAGGACGGGCCCCAAAGCCCAGCAATTTGAAATGTCTAGTGCAGAACAAATAGCCTTACCCAGCTTGACTAGCTAACAGAGGGACTCCTGAATGGAGCCAGAACGACCAGGGATGTTCACACGGTCCTGCAGATGTGCCGACTGTGGAGACCACAGAGTGTGTACCTTGGCATAGATGCCACCTGGGAGGGTCTCAGAAAAATCTCAACCAAATGGGTTTAAAGGCTGCAGTTTAAGGATCTGATCTTCTATAACATGAACCTGCCTGGCATTCAGGCAGATATATATGAGGTATTATTACATGAGGTATTACATATAGTAAATGACAAATTAGTCCCATTTTAAAAGGAAAACCAAAATTATAATTCAAAATCATGAAGTTTTCATAAAGTTTTCTTTTGGTTATTTAGCCTCATTGGAGCAACTATACCAGTTGACCCTCAAACTATTATGAATAACTGAAATTTGACTAGTTCCTAAAGCTCAATAAATAGTAATATCAAGATTGCGTCTGGGCTGACCGCGTGGCGTGCTGGTTAAGAGCTGGCTTGGGACGCCAGCTCTGTGCAGCAGGGCCCTGGTTCAGATCCCATATGAGGGCCACTGACACTGCCCTCTACAGCTAAGATGGTGAACAACAGTTCAACTTGGAGCTGGGATGCCCTGAGTCGCCAGTGATGGTGTAGGCTACAGCCCATGCTGCAGTGGGCTGCCATAAGTTATTGGCAGCTGGTGAGCGGCCGGCAGCTGGTGTGAGTTGCCAAGAGCTGCCGTGAGTGGCCGTCCAGAGGCCGGTGACTGATCTGCCTCACCCGGGAAGAGCGCAATGACAATACCAACATGGGCCAGTGAAGCGACGTCCTCCACAACTAGACCGAAGAACAAAAGGACAGCAACTTGTCTGTTCCCTTTCCCTGGATTCCCCAGAGCTGTTCCCCTCCCCCAATTCCCAATAAAATCTTTAAAAAAAAAGATTGCATCCACCCAACTTGAATACTGACCAGGTATTAAGGGATATTAAGAAACTGTTAATTTTATTGAGTTTAAAATGGCATGGTGGCTATATTAAAAATAAAAGTCCTTATCAATCAGAAACATACACGTAAGTATTTGCAGATGAAAGATAGGATACTGACGGTTTACTTCAAAACCTTCCAGTCAAAATAAAGGCATGGGGGAAGGGGAGAGAATAAGGCAGATAAAACAGAATCCCCAAAATGTTGACAATTAATTCAGCTGGATGATGTGAACGTAAGGATTTAGTACAGTATTTTCTTTTCTGTATTGAAGCTCTCCATAATAAAAATCTCTGCAGCAGTTATATATGAAAACAAAATGACCAATAGAAACAGACTAGCTTAACACCTCTATCACTGACAAAATGGTCAAGTCGAAAGGAGTTTGTAGGGCCCCAGTGTCTACTGCATTGCACGCTCATGGTGCCAGGCACTCTTTATAGATTCCATTTAATCCTTGCAAGTCTCCAGACAGGTAGGTGCTAACACCGATACAGAGGAGGGAAAGGAAAGCCAGACAGGCCAAGTAACTTGCCCAGGGACTATCCAGGGCTTCCACTTAGCACAAGGTCTGGTTTGCTCTAAAACATGTGTCCTTAATCCCTACACTCTTGTATTTTATTCATCTACAAATTAAAAGGATTACATTAAAAAAAATTGTTCTGGGCAAAATTTAAAATTAACCACACTATACAGCTCTGAGAAGAGAGGTGAAATTCTCCCTTCAGATCATGAAGCATTTAGTCAAGAACAGAGCAGCGATGATGGAACCTGTCCGCACTTTGACGGTCGTGGTGACGGCCTGCTCTTTATGTCATTGTCCAAACTCACAAAACTGCATACCATGAAGAGCAAAGTATATGGTAAGTAAGTCATGAAGAAACGAAAATACAGCCTGCCTTTTGGAAAGACCGAACACCTAACAACACACAGAAGTTAGCCCACCCTTTTCAGATATTGCCTCTGGGTGAAAAGGAATCGCAGATGCACATTTTATAACCTGTCCCTGGGGGCATGAGCCTGAAAACAGGTTGACCCCATGGCTTAAATGAGAGCGGTGAGCACTACACACAGACACAGACATACACACAGACAGACACACACACACACACACACACAGTGATGACTCAGTGACCACTGACATTTACATCTTATAAATACACTTGCAAGATTTATACTACTCACAGCACCGAAGTAAGGAGCTTGGTGTACAACCCCGGTGCCTTCTTCCTCCTTCACGTAGTTGTCAACAAGCACAGTAAAAGCACCATTCTCTTTACACTGGAAAAGAAATGTTAGCAGGCTTAAAGGATGAAACACTGCCATATAATATTAATTCAGTAAGTATTTAAAGCCTGAAAAAACATTTAACATGCAAAATTATTTTCAGAGTAATTCAGACTGGGAAAAAACATGCTAATTCTATATTATTCTATGAATAATGATTCATCACTTATAAGTAATGATCTGAAGACTTGCAGAAAGAGTTTTCTAACTTCCTTAGTACAAAATGGGCTTTGTCATTAGTTCTCCTGGACACCCCGGCCCCCCAGCATGTAGTTTATCATACAGTCTCAGAGACTACACATTCTCCTTAAACCATTCCCTTTCTGCTATACAGTTGACCCTCGAACAATGCAGGGGGTTAGGGGCATCGACCCCATGTACTAGAAATCTGAGTATAATTTTTAATTCTACAGTTGGCCCTTCGCATCCTTGTATTCAAACAGCCACAAATGGGACTCGCCTTAGGTCCCTGATTTCCGCACTGCGCATGCAGAGTTGCCTGGGTGGCAACTGGCTGTCGGGCTGCTCGGCCTGATCTTTGAGCGGCTGATTGGGACAGGCTGAGACAGGGAGTTTTCCTGGGAGTGTAGGGCCACGAGCTGTGTGCCTGCATGATTCAGTTGGGGCTTTCCAGGCGAGTTTGTGTGAGTTGGCTGCTGATGCAGGAGTGCATGCTGCTCTGACTTGGTGGGGGCCACTGACCACACCCTGTGGTGCCTTGGGGGCCTGCCCCGCCCACCTACAGCTGTGTTGCCAGGGGCACCCTGAGCCACTGGTACCTAGCTCCTACCTCTGCAGGCCACAGAGGGTTTTTTGCAGCTGCAGACAGCCCGCAACAACCTGTGAGGATTTTTGGTGGTGAGCACAGTTCCAAAGTACACAGCAACTAATTGTGGGACACTTACTTCAAGTCTAGAGGGAGGTCGGCGCGCATGACGCACTGAGCCCTGCCCCCAGCAGCTGGTGCTGAGTCACCCAGAATCTCTCTATTGCTGAGCAAGTGGTCTGCAGTGCAGATTACAGCGGGCAGAGAGCCCCTCCTTTTTTTTTTTCTCTTTTTCCTTTTTTTTCCCCTCTTTCTCTTTTTTCTTTCTAGGTGATTTAATACATCGAAGCAATCACAGTGACAGCCAGAATGAAGAAACAAAGAAACATGTCCCAAGTAAAAGATCAGAAGAAACCTCAAGAAATGCAACTAAATGACACAGAGGTATCCAACCTTTCAGAGACAGAGTTTAGAACACTGATGATAAGAATGTTTCAGGAACTTGAGGAGGACATAAAGAAGGATACAGAAATC